GGGGGGAGAGAGAGACCGTGGACAGCTGGCATACATCACCAAGGCTATCTTATCTAAAATGAATCATAATCTGCCATATCTACATTGGTTTTAAGACAAGCAATATATTACACATGTATAACCATATTGGATATTTAGCTATCACGGTTCTTAAAGCTGGCTGCTGATATTAGATGTGGCTGTTCGTGCAAATCTTTTGTATCTCTGCTACAAACCTGTATAGGCTTGTATCACACATCTGTCACATAGCAAGCTCCCACGCAGATAATTATTAAATGAAATAAAATTATAAGCAAAAAAATTAATAGAACATAATAAACTGCGAAAATACAAATTGCAATTCTGACCTAAGAAAACAATTAGAATACAAAAATTACTTTGCAGACATATGGCTTTTGAGCATGTGTGCAACATTTAGAAGAGATATCATGGTGCAAAAAGCATGCGGTTAATCTCATTCATCAACAATCAACCAAGAAGACCTTTGTAAGGTCACCGACATGCACCGGGCTGCTAACAGAATGGTAAGTATTAGGGATGCACCGATACCGTTTTTTCAGTATCAAGTATAGGTACCGATATTTTATTTTCCCCCTATACGGGAAGTCCCATTAAGGAAGCCAGGCGGCATGTGAAGACTTGCCACCCGGCTTCCCGATTAGCAGGGAAGCCGTCTCCATGCTTCTCGTCACTAGGTGACCAGAAAGCATGGAGCCGGCTTTCTAACCAATTAGGAAGCAAGGTGCCGTATAATGACGCGACACCCGGCTTCCTGATTGGCCAGGAACCCGGCTCAAGCATTAAGTCAGCTTCTCGGCCAATCAGAAAGCCAGGTGCCGCATCATTACATGGCACACGGCTTCCTGTGTAATGACTCACTGCCCAGCTTCCTGATACCGGAAGTATCGGGCTAGGCATCGGAACATTTGGGCGAATACGAGTACTCGCCTAAATACTCGGCAGCGGTACTGATACTAGTATCGGTGCATCCCTAGTATGTAACACATCATAGGTTTCCCTACACATTCATAAAAGGATCACTTACCACAAAGACTTCTCCTGTGGTCACATCTTTATCTACAACAAACCAAGCATCTCTCAGACCACCGATTTTTGCTCGTTGGCCCAATGTGAAGAGAAACCATCCTAATAACAGTACATAAAAAAAGTATGTTAAAATCACAATGATCCTCTTAAGCAGAAGGAAATTCAAAACATGAAATGACTGAAAAAGAAATAGTTCAAGCCAGCATTTAGCTTTGTGATCATGCTTCAATAAAGGATAATTTCCACCACACAAAATGACAAGGATTCCTTTGGTGTCACTCTGTTCCATTATTTTACTGCTCTAGAGAACAACTTATCATTGGTAAGGCCTGGTTCACACCTGGGCGTTTTACAACGCGTTCCTACGCCCTGTAAAACGCTCAACATGTGAAAACCAATGATTGCCTATGGGCATGGTTCCCACCTGGGCGTTTTACAGCGCTGCAAAACGCCCTACGCCCAAAGAAGTACAGGAGGTTCTTTGGGCGTATTTGCCGCACGTATCCATTGGGATAAAGCCAGTTAGCCCTCGCAAATGCGAATCGCGGTAAAAACACACGCATATTCGATGGTGTGAACCCAGCCTTAGAAAAAGTATTCGCCTGGAAATGACCCTTTCTGGGGCCATTTGGTCATTACAGATACTTGACATTTTTATACCAACAAAATGGCCTTTAGGTTTCACACGGTTATTTACATTTTATTATCCAAATTAGAATGATTAATAAAAGAACGACTTAGCAATGCATGGCATTTAGTAGAAACAATCTAGAGTGAGCCCGGGTTTACCTAAATCTGCGGTTTGTTTTTCAAAACAAAAACAAATCTCGGCAATGGTTTAAACCTGCTGACCATGGAGTCCAGATATTACATACAATGCAGTATCATCCAACAATAACCTTGTAAGGCCCCATTCACACTGCGCAATTTGCGTGTTTGTCACGCGATATCGCGCAAATGCTGGCATTGAGCAAGCGAGAATCGCGGCTAAATCCGCTCCAAAAAGGGTCCTGCTGTAGCGACGCACGACAGCAGGACCCTTTGCCCCATTGAGAAGCATTGGAGAGCGATATCGCGGGAATTACCGTGCGATAAATCGCTAAGTGTGAACGGGGCCTCAAAAAGCTATAGTAAAGAATTGTTGCTGTCATTTTGGTAAAGGTCTGCCTATAAATTCCAGAAAGATCCCGAGGCCTTTCCTGGGGTATTGCATTCAGCCAATGAAATCATGGGCAGTTGATGCAGAATGGCGGACATGAGCAGCTGTAATTGGATGTGATCGGTGTTCAGTGTGTGGTGAAAGGTGTTCAGCCAGCACTCCTTTCAGTCTCAGATCTTCTGTTTGCAGACCTTAAAATCCCTCCTGTGAAGTAATCTGCCGAAGCATGGGTAGTGCCTGGGTGAGTGGTTGTACTTCCTGCCAGGACTCCACCAGTATAGTCAAATACAAGTTTACAACTTTACTGTGAAGTAAATAGTCATGCAAAAGCATAGGGGAGTAAAGTACAGAGACATACAGTACATCATAGCCTGACCACATGACATTGTATATTTACTTAAAAAAAAAAAAAAATATAGGTTTTTGCCTTTAAACATACTAAAAATATTCCAATAAATCTATTGTCAAATGGATACCTGGATCGTTCTGATTGCTCTGAAAGTAAGGCTGGCCATACACTGTTCAATTTCATCTCATTCACAGAATCAGACAAAATTATAAGGCCTGTGAAAGGGGCCCAACACTGGGTGGCTCTGCCAGCTTGACAAGGCTTTTTTTTTTTTTTAAAGGAGACAAGCCAAAAATTTGCATTTCCAACAATGTACCTGTCAGCTTGAACCAGTCTGGTTCCATCTCCTCTGACCTCTCATTAGCAAGGCATTTCTATTCCCAGAACTGGCACTCTAACGATGCTTTTGGTTTTATGCACCAGTCTGAGTGGACTCCAGAGACTGTTGTACATGAAACTTCAATGAGATGAGAAGTTACAGAAACTCAAACCCAGTGGCGGAACTACCGCCGGTGCAGGCGGTGCGGGCGCCCGGGGCCTCAGGCTCTGGAGGGGCCCAGCAAGTTGCCGGCCGCCGGATCGATGGCCCACCCTGCACCAACAATCACGCCATGGTCAGTATTATTGAGATCACATTCCGTTTCCCCATTCTGATGTTTGATGTGCACAATAACTAAAGCTTCATCATTTTATCACTGTGTTGCTGCCACATTAGAGCAGATTAGCACTAGAGCACGGCTGATTAGATAACTGCAAGTAGATGTACCAGTGTTCCTAATAAACTGCCTACTGATTGTACACTGAGTGGCCAGATTATTATGACCACCTGACGTTCTGTAGGCAAATTGGCTATAATTTCGCGCTGAAGTATCTGGAGGGCCAGACCATTATAAATAGGGAAGCAGGTTGTTTACCACGACAGAGAAAGCGATTTTTTTCTGAAGATATGGGAAACAACGCGATTTAACAGACTATGAACGTGGGATGATTGTTGGCGCTCGGAGCCATGGAGCGAGTATCAGCAAAACAGCAGAATTCGTTAAATGTTCAAGAGGGGCTCATTGTTAAAGTGTTTAAAGACTGGACTGTCAGCCGAAAATCTGGGTCTGAACGTGCGAATTGTGCCCGTCAGCGACTAGTCAATGTTAGGGCAGAACGGAGAGTGGCAAGACTGGTACAAGACAACAGAAGGGCAACAGTGCATCAAATGACTGCAGATCTTAATTAGGGATCCTCTCAAATGATCTCTGAACGCACTGTTCGCCGTACACTGCATCGTATGGGATATGGAAGCCGAAGGCCTGTTCGAACACCTTTGCTGTCTGCAGTTAACAAGATAAAACGTCTCCAATTCGCACAGGAACACAAGGATTGGACAGTCGAGCATTGGAAAAAAGTCATGTGGTCCGATGAATCACGTTTCCAGTTGCATCATGCAGATGGCAGAGTGAGAATTTGGCGGGAACAGCATGAAAGCATGCACCCCACATGCATGAGTACAACCCTTCAAGCTGGTGGGGGCAGTGTTATGGTTTGGGGCACGTTTTCCTGGCATGATTTGGGCCCTTTAATTCGTGTGGAACAACGTCTGAATAGCACAACATACCAAAGTATTGTTGCTGATCAAGTTCATCCTATCATGTTGATGGCGTATCCCAATGGAGATGGCTTCTTCCAACAAGACAATGCGCCATGCCACGGTGCCGGTATTGTGCAGGAGTGGTTTCGAGAACATGAGGGAGAATTTACCTTGCTTAGGTGGCCCCCACAATCACCAGATCTCAATCCAATTGAGCATTTGTGGGACAAAGTTGAAAGAGCCATCAGGCAGCTGGTTCCACAACCATCAAATCTCACAGAACTGGACAGTGCTATTCATCAGGCATGGTGTCAGATTCCTTGCATCACCTTTCAACATCTCGTGGAGTCAATGCCAAGAAGAATCGCCGCAGTATTGAAGGCAAAAGGTGGCCCAACGAAGTACTGATGGTGTAGTCATAATCTGGCCACTCCGTATTATATATACATATACCACTCTTTATGTGGTCACACATGGAAGGGCAGCAATAATATCCAAATACTAAGCAGAATAAAAACACCTTTGCCCTTGCCTTAAGGTATCCAAATATAAAATACTACAATCACCATGTTTCTGTGGCAAATGTCAGAAATCACAGAAGTAAACAAAATGTAAATGCTCTGCTTACCATTGTGTGTTCCCATAATTTTCCCATCTTCAATAGAAACAAAGTTTCCAGGCTGTGGCTCTAAATACTTCAAATAAAAATGAAATCATTAGCGTTGAGCATTGCTTGACAAAATCACTTCTTGCCAAACTATACAGAAAACATACCTCAAGGATGAACTTGTCAAAGTTTCTCTCACCAATGAAGCATATTCCCATGCTCTACAAGGAAGGCATAGAAGATATTTACGTTATCAGTCTGTGGCAGTGTAATTTACTCATGGAATATAATGGTTTCATCATCACATAAGCCTTTTACTAGATAAATACTTTAAAGGATGAGTGCACTTTAAAAAGCCCCATAGACTTCTATGGTACCTCTGATCATCTCCAGCCTCGGGACACAGCCCTATAGAAGTCTATAGGGGGGGAATAATGGGCAGGCATGGCCAGGACAATAAAAACATGTACTACTGGCTGTAAATAATAATAGGGCAAACGCGGCCGTCAGATCTAGGCAAGTATGTATCTGTGAAGGAGGAGGGTGGGGTGGGTTAGCTCAGAGCAATGGGGCAAAAAGCACACTTATGCTTTAATAGAAAAACAAATGCAATACAAGAAACAAAACAAAAAAAAAGCCCTTGCCTCTTTTCTCTTTAAAACATGATGAAATCCAGCTTCTGCAGCAATCTTCTTCACAAAGTCTTTTGTCAATCCTCCCAGTGGAAACAGGGTTTTTTTCAGTGCATACTGCGGGATCTGACTAAGGAAGAAAGTCTGGTCTTTGAACTGATCAGCAGCCTGGAGAAGTTTCACATCTGTTTCATAACAGAAGCAAAAATAACTGAAAGTCCAAACCCACCAAAAATTAGAATCCGAGTACAGTGGTACCTCGGTTCATGAACTTAATTAGTTCCGCGATTCTTGTCGTGAACCACTTTGGTTGTGAACGGAATCAAACTGTGATCTCGACTAGAGGAAGCCATGACCAGGTGTCAGAACAGGGAAAATGGCTGCGGTTGTGTTGTCACCCGAAGCGGAGTTTGCCAACGGAGGCAAAATTTTGCTGAACTTCCTGTTCGCGAACCGAATTGTTCGCAAACAGAAGCGTTCGTGAACCGAGGTACCACTGTACTGTGCAACTGCTGGCACATGCTTTTTTACATCTCTTGAAAGCTTCAGTGTACAGGTCCCCACCAGAAATGCTGCAGTCATTAGAAAAACCCATACAATGGGGTCCCCTCTGATTGATTGTACTCTCCTCTAAAAGGGACACCATTATGTCTTGGAGGAGCAAACCAGTAGGACTTCACCACTAAGGTTTGAGAGTTATAAAAAGCCATGAGTTGATTAACCCTGCCAGTGGGATTTATGAAAAACAAATGTCAGTTCCGGGTGCAGCTGGCCAATAAAAGTAAACAAATTGAGAGTGCCAGAAGCAAGTAGACAAACTCATTTTTATAAAAGAAACTATAGACAATAATAGATTTACTTTCCTATACTGTATGTTAGGGTTATCTAGCACTAGTATCAGTATTGGTGTTGAAAGCAGGCATTTTAGGAGTACTTGTACTCGTGAAAATGCCACAATTGTTAAAAGGAGAATTATGAGGCAAGTGATTTTCACTCAGCCTCATAATCTGAGCCGACCTGTGACAATGAAATTGTCACAGGTCAGCTCAGTAGATCGGGAAGTGAGCGAACACATACTGTCGCTCGCTCACTTCTCGATCTATGCCTGCAGAGAGCCATGCCTGTCACTCACAGCTCCCTGCAGGGATCCCCCCCTCTCCGATCCTCCAGCGCTGACTGGCGAAACGGACGGGGGAGGGCACAGCTGGCTCTGGATAGGCAGAGCCAGCTGTCAATCCCGCAGCTAGGTGGATCCAGACAGTATTGTCGGGATCTGTCCCGGCTGCGGCGTCTCAGTATACCGCAAACTGAGCTGTGGGTGACGGGAGGACGCTAGTTTGTGTTCTCCCATGACCCTTAGGAGAACTATGGGGAAAAGCCCTGACCCCATAGTTCTCCTTTAAGGCCGACACCAGCCCTTTACATTTTAAACCGCAGCGGCGGCTGCTGCTTAGTTCCCGCGTTTGTGGGGACCTTGGCAGCCTGCTGGGTCCTGGCAGTAGCTGCCTCTGGCAGTGCCTCTCCGGTCCTATATATCCTACTTCTCCTTCCCAGTACAGGCAGAGCCATGGAGAGCTCCATACACAGCACAGTACAGCCCCGGACACCGGCACCCGTCCGATCAACTCTCCACAGCATAGCCACAGAGCCCTGCAGAAATTCACATGCCGCCCGGGTGAGATCGCAGCCTCCTGCTCTGGTGGAATGCATTGCATTGTGCTATGGTGGGATCTATTGTGCTCTGGGGACAGCTGTATTTAGCCCTGGTGAGAAACTGCCCTAAAATCATCAGTCTGTATTGTTTTGGAAAAAAATGTCACACGCAACTTTAAGAAAAAGTATCAGTAATTGGTATCAGCAAGTACCTGAGAGAAAGTACTTGGTCTTGAGAAAGTGGCATCGGGACATCCCTACTGTATGTAGCTCATCAGCTACTTAATGTAAACCCAATGATACTGCTGAAAGGTCATTTGGCAAGGAAATTCCAAATCGGAAATAAAATACCTTGCAGAAATGTTAACCCTTTTCCCCTTTATCTAAAACAATACAAACAACCTATTCAGTAAATGCATTATAATATAGTAAACCCTCTCTACTATCCGGCATTCAAGCATCCAGCACTCTCAAGCAACCGGGGGAAAATGTCCTCGATTTTTTTTATTTGCCGGTGGAGTGATACACATTAAAACAAAATGTCAGTTGCCTGGTGCACACTAGAAAAAATTTGGTTACATCTTGCTGCCGGCCAGACGGCGGCTAGATTCTGAGACCGGCAGCAGAATGTAAACGATGGGGAGCAATGGTCAGCCTGCTTTTGGCTATTTCAAATTGCAATAGCAGGCTGGCTATTGTATCCCCACACTGAACAGAGGAACGGCTCCTCTGCTCAGTGGGTGGGGTTTCAATAGCCAGCCTGCTATTGCAATTTGAAATAGCCAATACCAGACTGGCAATTACTCTGCCTGCTTACATTAACCCGGCGGCGGAAGCTAGCACGAGTGGGGTTTCTCGTGGGGGAGGTTGCTTGAGAGCTACTATTAACTCTCAAGCAACCAGAAACTACAGTTATCCAGCACCTACCGATCCCCGTGCATGCTGAATAATTGGGAGTTTACTGTAGTTAACCCTTTACCAAACTATTTGGCAAGTTTGCCTGCCTGTCCAACCTCTGTCTGTTTCCTAGCAACCAATGACACTGTGCGGCCCACACGGCATCATTGGTTGCTAGGACACAGGTGACCCCAGGTTTGGTTTGCTTGGACATTTGTTGAACACGGATTTCTGGCTGGGGTTGGTGAACGTCCAAGCAAATACTGTTCAGAAAGTGTGGAAAGAACTCTTACCATCTCTTACTTCGAATCTATTCCTGAACAGACTTTGAGGGTTCTTAATAAAAGGATGCTGAAATATATCTTCATTCTCGTGAGATGTCCTTGCGTAATGCCCAGTGGCTATAGCATCAGCTCCTAGAACAAAGAAATGGATAACTTGAACACAAAGATCACTAGAGCTTTAGAGGTCTAAAATTATCAGCAAACCTTGACTTTTGTTTTTTTCTTAAACTGCCATCACAGAAGGAAACTGTTAGGCCCCCAGGAGGTTTTAGCCATAATGTGCTAGTATGGACTGCATATTTGCACAATATAGCAGAATTACCTAGCAAGCGACCCTCTCCACCACTCCCATCTTCTCCCAGGTTTTGGCATCTTGGTCGTCTGGGCTCGGATGGGATGATATAACTGCATGAAAAGTTATTCAGCCATGGCACAGAAGTGTGCAATGAGCTGTGCAACTCTGTATACACAAACTGACAGGCAGTGGGAAGCAATGACAGAAGGGACATACAGAGTTCTTCTGTCATAAAAACCTGTCTGCAGAAAGAAAGAGAAAATATATATATATATATATATGCAGATAGATAGAGAAAATATATATATATATATATTAAAAAACAAAACTTTAACACCAACTTTTTCAAGTGTATGTGAACCTTTGATATGTAAAACAACCATTACAATGTCAAATACTAATATTAGGCAGGACCCAAAAAAAAAAAAAAACCCCATAGTAGATACACTTTTTGTATTTAAATGTTTAGAAGCAGTCATGCGACTTTTATTCTACGCTGCATACCACGCGGGGTGGAGACTACTTGTGACAACTGACAAGTTTTGTTAATGTCCCAGCCCGTTACAGTGCAAGGCCGGGCAGGGGAGAGGGGTGTGTCAATAGTGTGACTTCTGACACCCACCAGTGTCACAGCGTTTGGGATATGAGACATGAGCCACAAAGATGAACAGCTTATGTCCGTCTCTGCCTGCTACTTAGGAGATGCCCACACACCGTGTCCTGTAGCTCCCAAGTAGCAGGCAGACACTATGACCCCTCACCTTGTGGCTGACATCACATAGTCTAGTCACTTTCACAGGGCTGGTCAGGAGAAGGGGGGCATGTAGTCAGCAGTGTGACTACTGGAGCTACAGAAGGTGCCATGTGTAGACACCGGGTCCTGTAGCTCCCAAGCAGAAGAGACACAAACTGACAACACTAAGATGGATCTGCTTCTGTCACTAAGATGGCCAGGTATTTCAGAGGGGAAAAAAAAAGAAAAACCGGCTACATTTACAAATTGATATAGAGATATATAGAGATATATAACATACACTTTAACATAACAAAAGCCATGATGGATTTAAGAAGTAAATGTTTGCGTTACTACTGTAACAAGTGTTTTGTTAAAATTATTACTTCCCTCTGTGTATATAATATATACACCAATAATATAATAAGCATGGACAATCAATGAATTCAACTACAAAACACATATATAAAGAACTTACCCAAGTTTTCAATTGCATAAGTGAGGAAATAATTAAACTTAATATGCTTGTTGCACATGATATCCGGGTTTGGGGTTCTTCCTTTCTCATACTCATTCAGGAAAGAGCTGAAAACAATCACAGCACACAGTAAGCCACCATACTCCCACCACTATCAGCAATAATTGCTCACATTAGATATATCTCTATATATACACAGCACAGGTTACCTGAACACGTCATGCCAATATTCCTTCACATAGGAGACTTGGTGAAAAGGTATATCCAGTTTCTCACAGACTCTGTAGGCATCTTCACAGTCATTTTCTGCAGTGCAGACTCCGTGCTCATCTACAACGTCCCAATTGTTCATAAACACACCCGTCACCTGATAACCTGAAAGGGAAAACAACATTATGTATCATGTACCTCCTCATGTATCCCTTTTAGATTGTAAGCCGTCACGGGCATGGCCCTCCTTACCATCTTGTCTTGAATTGTGATTGTAATGTCTTCCTTATATAGTAAAGTGCTGCGCAAACTGTTGGCACTATATAGATCCTGTATAATAGTAATAATAATGTCCACTGGGCTACATCTGCTACTGAGGCATCAGTGCACAGACATTCAAAAAAGGTGTAAGCTGGCCACTGCAATTCAAACACAGCGACTCAATCTAGGCAGCTTTCCCTACAACCTGCTCATTAAAAAGGAGAACTATGGGGTTAGGGCTTTCCCCCATAGTTCTCCTTAGGGTAACAGGGGGACACAAACTAGCGTCCTCCCGTCACCCTAGGCTCAGTATACCACGAGCTAGAGCCAGCTGTACCCGCCCCCTCCCCTGTCTGTTCCGCCAGTCAGCGCTGGAGGATCGGAGCGGGGAGGGGGTAATCCAGCCACTCCCGTCACGGCAGAGGGCTGTGACAGGATCGAGAAGTGAGCGAACGCCGGTATGTACAGCTTCCTATAATTGCATAGGTCACTTTTTACAAAAAAATAATACGTTGACCCACAGTAACGAAATAAAAAGTAAATTCATTGGGTTTTTTTTGTACTGGACCCTGCAAATCAGTGTATCATGGGTGCAATGCTCAGGCTCCTGCAGACTATTTTCCTAGCCCCAAGCCTGTACTGAGGGGCGGACCATGGGTTATGTAGCTGGAGGTAGTGATCAATAGACTCCCAGTGTAGTGACATCGTCACACTTGTGCTCCATTGAAGTCAGAGTCCCTCTGCTGTAGTGGCAGATGGTCGGCCCATCCATTCACAGATATCTGTGAATAGATGACATGGCTGTGTGGGATGAGCCATTAAAATCTGTGTAGGTTAAAAGAAATATTGATGCTGCGGGGAGAAGAACCTTATGATTCAGGTAGGGGGAGGGGTGGGAGTCAGGGAGTGTGACCGTGTTTCATGTTACACCATACATATGGATGCAACACATAACATGGTCAGAGAGGTGGATTTAGCCTACTCACTCTTTTACATTCTTCCAGCACTGATCTCTGGAACTATATAAGAAGTCAGTTCTGTGATGTCACACCTGAACAAGGTGCAGCTGTCACTGACTGCAGATTACACTCTGGTTGGGGTCTGACTACCTGGATCTGGGACAATCAGCCCAACATGTTATCTGGACTGTCCTGAGGGGGCAAATGCCCCTTTTCCCCTTCTGTGGGCACACTTAGGGCCCCCATACATTACGAGTAATTTCCAAGCATTCATCTCCTTATGGCTGTTCCTTCACAAAAGGACTCCCAACCTGCTGCACCCAATCCCTTTATACACCAACATAGCCAGGAGCTGATCCCGCCAGAATGGGACCATGGTGATCTCCAGCTCACCCAGTTTGTGGGAGAACAATCTAGGGGCAAGCCGACTGACAGTGATGCTGAGGTCAGTAAACTCTGCAGTCAGCCGACCTCCAGTGATGTTTACTTTCATTCTGCTTTCACTTTGATGGTTATCCCACAAGCTGGAAAATCTCTGCACAGTGAGGCTTAGGGCTTGTTCAAACCGAAAAACGTGTGCGCTCCAGAGCGGTAGCTGCTGGAACGCACCACGATCACGAAGAAACTTCTCCCTACGTTCTGGGGCCAGAGGGGGGCTTGGCATTGAATTCAATGGCACCGCTTCCACGCCCGCAGTGCAATCGGACACGTTGCAAAACTTTGCCAGCATTGCGTTCCACTGCAAACGCAAAAAGTAGAGCAAGCCTTATTTTTTGCATTTGCAGTGGAACAGAACGCTGGCAAAGTCTTGCCACGCGTCTGATCGCACTGCAGGCGGGCGTGGAAGCGGTGCCATTGAACCCAATGCACCGCCACTCCCACCCCAAAACTCAGGGAGAAGTTTCTTCACGATAGCCATGCGTTCCAGCAGCTACCGCTCTGGAACGCACACGCTTTCGGTGTGAACAAGGCCTTAGAGCACCATTGTTACCAGACACCATCATCAACACTTATATAGGCAGAGAAGTGTATCATGAGGATAAACTTTCCCCTGGGATGATGTGTTCTAGTGTGATGAATGATGCCATGTTCTTTCTTCCCCTACACACTGGATCTATCTTCCTTACCTCTCCTCTTCAACAGCAAAGCCGCCACAGCGCTGTCCACCCCTCCGGACATAGCACACACCACCCGGCGGACCGCCTGCATGACTCTAACACACGTCCACCTCTCTCAAGGACAACCACACCGGCCGGGGCCACATGTCACGGGAGGTGCAATACACACAAAGCGCCGGGTAGAAATTTATACCGCGATCGGCAGTTCCTACGTCTCATTCACCAGTACAGAGCAATGCCACCAGCGAACGCTAGGTGTCAGAAGAGTCCCGTAAAACCGTCCAGGCTGGCTGACATATGACAATATACACGTGACGTTGATGGTGTTCTGTTAATTGTCTGCACCCGTTAGATATCTGGACTTCTGGGATCGGCTCAGAGAGTGTAAATAGATCACAGACTACTACGCATGCGCGTGTCCAGACATTTTACCGCTGCATCTCTTGTTATATAATGTTAATTAACCACTTCAAGACCAGGTGTTTAGACCCCCTTCCTGGCCAGGCAATTTTTCAGTATTCAGCGTTGCGGTACTTTGACTGACGTTTTTTCCGTCATGCAACGCTGTACTGAAATGAATTTTATACCATGTTTTGGGGACAGATAGGGCTTTCTTTTGGTGGTATTTAAACACCACTGGGGTTTTTATTTTTTATTATAATTAGGAAAAATTACAGAAAATTTTGGGAAAAAAAAGTTTTTTTTTTACATTATGTTAGGAAACATTTATTATTACCCAGTTTTTTGGTAAAATATAAAAGATCGGGTCACGTCGGGTAAATAGACACCAAACATGTCAAGCTTTAAAATTGCACGCACCCGCGAAATCGCAGAAAACTACCATAAAAAAACCTCAAACAATCAAAATAATATATAAGAATAATAAACAGCTATAGTATTGCTTCTGACCTGAAGAAGAGAGGTTAACTCTCGAAAGCTTGTCTTTTATATATTTTGTTAGTCCAATAAGAAAGGTATCATCACACACTACAATACTCCGTTTTGTTTTTGTTTTTTATATATATATATTGGATTGTCTGGCAATCCAATGGACGTGTCTGGGTTTGCTGGTTGCCAGGAGAATGGTGCTTTCCTGACTGCATTGTTCCAAGTGTAAAGATTGGTGGAGGAGGGATTATGGTGTGGGGTTGTTTTTCAGGGGTTGGGCTTTGCCCCTTACTTCCAGTGAAGGGAACTCTTAAGGCATCAGCATACCAAGACATTTTGGACAATTTCATGCTGCCAACTTTGTGGGGATAGTTTGGGGGTGGCCCCTTCCTGTTCCAACATGACTGCACACAAGTGCACAAAGCAAGGTCCATAAAGACATGGATGAGTGAGTTTGGGGTGGAGGAACTTGATTGGCCTGCACAGAGTCCTGACCTCAACCCAATAGAACACTGCAACCCAATAGAGTGGAGACTGCGAGCCAGGCCTTCTCGTCCAACATCAGTACCTGACCTCACAAATGCGCTTCTGGAGGAATGATCAAACATTCCCATAGACACACTCCTAAAACTTGTGGATGCCTTCCCAGAAGAGTTGAAGCTGTTATACCCGCAAAGGGTGGGCCAACTCAGTATTGAACTCTACAGACTAGAGTGGGATGCCATTAAAGATCATGTGCGTGTAAAGGCAGGGGTCCCAATACTTTTGGCTAGGGATGCACCGATACAAGGATCGGTATCGGCGGCGATACCGAGTATTTGCATACTCGTGCAAATACTCCGATACAAAAAACGAGTACCTGTGCCGCGTCCGCCATCTTCAGAGACCCGAAACTGCCGCACACAGGACCTCCATCACGTCTTCAATTAAACAAGATGGCCGCGAACTCCTCCTCCAAGTCCTCAGTCATCTGCTCCATTCTGACCTCTTCTCCCGCTGATAGGTAATTGGTAATTATCGGTAATTGGTATCGGTGAGTACTTCGGTACTCGTACTCGGTCTTGAAAAAGTGGTATCGGTGCATCCCTACTTTTGGCAATATAGTGTGCATATTAAATATAAGAGTGTCGATGAGACGTAAAAGAAGAGTGTCTCAGGGTTACAGGAATAGTGTCGTTATTTGCACCAAATTCATGTACAAGGCTGCATTGCATTCATGAATTTGGAGTAAATCTGTGAAACTAGTGCTTGCTTGTGAGACAAACTTTAGGACAGATATAATGTATGCACACTGATAAAGTACATGGATGTGCCCCTTCTCTGTCAAAAGTGTTTCAAGGGCAGGAATATATCAATCCTGTTGCATCCTCAGCATTCTTTAGGGCCCATTCATACAATCTCCTTGTGTTAATTGCACAGTTCCATGCGATTAACACACGGTAACATAGCACATCACCCATGCGATTACAGAGCAGGAGGTGCATTCATTTGAATGGCACCCCAAACACACCTCCTGCCGGCAGTGCACTCACTATTTAATGCACTCACTATTTTTTTTATAATCGCACAGTACCGTGTGTTGCGGCGCAGCGATCGCACTGCGGGCGTGAGGTGCATTTGGAGTGCCATTCAAATCGCACGTAACCATGCGATTAATGCATGGAGATCGTGTGAACGGGCCCTAAAACAATTGCAATCGCATATTGTGACTAAGAATTGTATTTTGTATTTTCTTCCATTCATGAATCTATGGCAAACAGAATCAATATTGTGACCAAGTACACTGTCGCACATTAGCGCTAGTTGGAAGCAAATGCATGGGATAATCCACATAGCTGCTGAGACAGCAGCTTACAGTGACACTAAACTCAGGAGTTAAATTTAAAAATACATTCAAGTACTTTAACTATTAACAAAAATGTATCTTATTTGTGTATCACTCAGCTGTAGATCCTCAAATCATCTCTGAATTGGTGCTGACATTGTCCTTCCTTCTGGAGGGGGGTCCCTGTGTGTGTTGTAAAGTAGCCACCACTCCAAGCTTGATCCTGTGATAGACTGTGATAATACAAATTAGTAAACTAAATATGAGATTGTAGTCTATCACAGGAGTGAGCTTGGAGTGGTTACTACTGTACAACATACTCAGGGACTATGGGGAACAAATGTAGCCACCCTGCAGAAGGAAGGACAGTGTCAGCGCCAATTCAGAAATGATTTGAGGATCTACAGCCGAGTGAAACACAAACAAAATACATTTTTGTTAATAGGGTTCTTGAATGTATCTGAAAGAATGTAACTCCTGAGTTCAGTGTCACTTTAATTGCCTCTCAGTCTGTGCACCATTGAGCTGCTGACACTGTAGCTAGATTGCTGTCAGTCTGTACATGATCTCTTCGGAGACATGAAAAGTAAACAAATGTATCCACTGGGCTGATGACACTGTAGCTCTTTAGGGATTCTCCCGATGTTGCTAGTAATAGCCATAGCAGACTTTACAAGATCACTCTCATGTCTCGGAAGAGATGGTGCACAGACTGACAGACAAGATGCACTCTCAGCATCTCTGTGGATACATTTGTCCCATTCTTGCACTTTACAATTGCTTCCAGATAGTGTCAAGAGCTATCTTTCTGTGTAATTTTAATTTTGTAGCTTTTTATTTTGTTTGTACTAATTTAAAAAGTGATCAAGAGCACCTCTAACATTTGCCACTGAATGGCAGAGACGTTCAGCTCCTGCAATAATCATGCTAAAATAGTGCTGTAGTCACGCTTCTTTCGCATACAATTGCAAAGTGGAAACAGCCACACTGCTGTAAAAAACAGCATCACAAAAGAAACTTGTCTGTGTGGCAGAAATGCACATAGATTGGAAGTGCGACAGGCTCTAAACAGACGCAGAGGCCAAGTAACATGTCATCCTAAGGTATGTGTCGCATACTGCAACAGACAATATACAAGTACAACAGACTAGTTACCCCAAAAAGTACTTGGGCATTACTTTGCATCACTTTTCTTATTAATGAACTGTTAGAGTTTATTTACTAGATATGTCACAAGCACATCGCCAGAATGAAATATGGCACAAAAAAGAACTACCTGAATTATGCACAGGAGTCAGTAGAGGTCCAGAAAATAGCACAGCATCTTTTAGAATTTGGTGCAGACATATCTTAACCACTTGATGACCAGGTGTTTACACCCCTTTCCTGGCCAGGCCATTTTTCAGCGTTGCGGTACTTTGACTGACGTTTATTCCGTCATGCAGCGCTGTACTGAAATCAATTTCATAAAAATTTTTGGGGACAGATAGAGCTTTCTTTTGGTGGTATTTTATTACCACTGGGGTTTTTAAATTTTTACTATGAAATAAAAAACAAAACAAAAACTGTTTTCCCTACATTATGTTAAAAAACATTTATTATTACCCAAATTTTCAGTAAAATATAAAAGATGGGGTCACGTCAGGTAAGTAGACAGCAAACCTGTCAAGCTTTAAAATTGTGTGTGCCCTGGAAATCGCACAAAATTACCATACCCAAAATTGAACATAGCCGACGCTTTAAAAGCTTTTATCGCTCGTCAGTTTAGTGTTGTCAGTGATTAAGGGCCCTAGAATTATTGCTCTCACTCCGATGTTCAAAGTTGATATGTAACATGTACAGCGCAATCATTATTTTCGCACGTAGGAGCACCTGACGTGTGTGTGTGTGTGTGTGTGTGTGTGTGTGTGTGTTTTTCTTATGTGACTTAAATGTTTTGTAAATTTTTTCACTTAACTTTATTGCTATCACATAGGAGGATGAGAAGGCCCCCTATGTGATAGCCAATTTCCACAGACAGGTCCTCTTTATAGAGACCTCAGGTGTCTCTAAGACTACTAATGTCACCTAGGGACCTCCAAAGAAGCTGATGAAGCAGAGATCTGCTTCGCCAGCTTCTCTCCAGCTACATAAGCTGGAGAATAACAGCTGAATGCGGAAGTGATGTAATATACATCACTTCCTGCATTGTGACTGGCGGAGAGTTCAGAAGGAGATCGTGTGATAATCTCCCTCTGATTTCTGTTAACAGACGCAGTGCGGGTCCCGGGCCCGCACCAGCACAGTGGAGCTCGGGATCGGTGATGGCGGAGGGGGGCTGCACACCCACATGCACAATACAAGCGATCCAGCGGCTCCACAGATGCCAGAACGCTTGTATGTAAACAGCCATCGCTGGCTGTTTACAATTTAAGCAGTTTTCCCATTTGTGCGTGCCACCCAGCTTAAGTAACAAGTATTCAGTACTTTGTTGAAGCACCTTTGGCAGCAATTAAAGCCTCAAGTCCTTTTGGTATGATGTGACAAGCTTTGCACACCTGGATTGGGGGATTTTCTGCCATTCTTCACAAATCCTCTGAAGCTCAGTCAGGTGGGATGGGGACTGTCAGTGGACAGCCTTCAGGTCTCTCCAGAGATGTTCAATAGGGTACAAGCCAGGGCTCTGGCTGGGCCACTCTAGGACATTCAGAGTTGTCCCAAATCCACTCCTTTGTTGTCTTGGCTTTGTGCTTAGGATCATTGTCATATTGGCAGGTGAACCTACAGCCCAGGCTGAGGTACTGGAGCTAAATTTTCAAGTGTTGTTGCAAAGGGTCAGAATACCAATATGATGTTTGTTTGTTTTTTAAATAAATTCACAAACATTTATAAAATTCTGTTTTCACTTTGTCATTATGGGGTGCGGAGTGTAGATTAATAAGAAAGAAAAAAAATTAATCTAAACTGTACCAGACTGCAACATAATAAATGTGAGAAAAAAAAGTGAAGGGAAAGACGTCTGAATACACTGGTGGGGGGAGTTTATCAAAACTGGAGCAGTTGCCTATGGCAATCAATCAGCTTCTCTCTTCAGTTTGTTCACTTAAAGGTTTGAAAATGAAAGGTGGATGCTGATCAGTTGCCATGGGCAACTGCTCCAGATTCTGTCTGCTCCAGTATTGATAAATTCCCCTCTATGTCCTCCCATGAACCTGAAGAGAACTATGGGGCCAAAAAAACAAAACCCACGTTACCCCATAGTTCTCCTTTAAGAATCCCTCCAAACTTGGCCATTCTGTTGCATTTACACGTTATGCTAGGGCAGCCCATTCTTCTAAAAATACTGCCAACATAAAACATGACTTTAAAAAAAAAAAAAAAAAAAAAAAAAGAAATAAATTTGTTAATGAAGGGTACGCAGGTGGCTTTTCTCTAGTGCAGGGGTGTCAAACTCCATTTAATCGCAGACCACATCAGCATTATCATTGCCCTCAATGGGCCGGTTGTATCCGTAAAACTATATAAATGTAAAAGGTTCTATGGTAGGCTGTGTGCACTTTCAGGTGGCTGTGCATGCTCAGAGGTACTGACAGGTGCGGGCAGCATGGATCCACAGGAAGGAGTTTTGCTGCTGGCGGCGTAAACAGGCACAGGAAGGCAGCTGGGGACGTCACCAGCCTTCCTGTAAGGCCCAGCACGTTTACAGTGCCGGCTTCGGCTTCAAAATTTAAAGCTGCTGGGAGGAGGTGCAAGGGCCACATGCGCTCTTGGGTATTGTCATGTCCTTTCAAATTAATGGCATCAAAATCAGTGCTCCATGGCTTCTAGAAATGCACATTACTGCAATGCCCAAGTGTGAAGCCTTAGGCCTTGTTCACACCAAGCGCGGAGCAGGTGCAGAGCAGTTACAGACCGGAGCAAAACAACGTCCAATGTATGCCAATGGTATTTTTAGCTTCAGTTCACATCGCAGCGTTCAGTTCCAGAGCAGGTAAAAAAAAACTGCAGCAGGCCCTAGTTTACCTGCTTTGGAACACATGCAAACACCTGGAACACACTGAAAGCCCATTTTAAACTAAACATTTTTTTTTATATATTATTTTTTTTTAACCAAAACGGCCCAGAACACATGAAAAAACACAGCACAACCCACTGCACTGCATGTGCCGAAACTCATGCAGATCTGCTCTGCATTTGATGTGAACAAGGCCTAAATGTTGTTTTAGATGCAGATAGTGCAAGTTCCTGAATACCACTTGGTATCAGCCTTTTACATTCCCCTGTACAGCAGCGCTCTGACTGGAAAAGGAAGGGGCAGGAATGAGAGCCAAATCAGACATGTTGCATGCAGATACATTGACAAAGAAAATGCCAATAGAAGGAGTAAAGTGAGCTGAGGGATGACCTCATCAGTCTGCTGTTTGGCATCCACTCTCCAGCCCCGGCTAAGTGACTGGAAGGTAGACAAAGTATTCCTAACCAAGTGGTGTCCATGTAGCTGTGATCTGGCTGTTTAAATCTAAGGAATGGATGAAGTGAACATCCTATGGCAGGCAAATTTTTAAATGTATTTCACCTGTATATTTAGTGGCTTGTCTGTCATCAGTCCTTGAGATATAAAACAGGTAGTTTCTCTCCACTCCATCATCAAAAATCCAACATTTATTAAATAGCTTTAATTTTATACATGATTTTAAGTAAAAATGTACAACATAAAATCAAATATTGATCACTGCATTTTTACAGCCTTTTTTGACATTTACTCAACATACCTTATTCAACATTTACATTCCAGTTGGATACATTTAATACAGACCAACATTACAAACACTTTATATGAGAAGCAGGTTGTAGTTAATGGATAGGACATAACATCCAACACTGAAAATATAAATGATATATGGACAGTCATTTAAATCACAGGCTAAAGTAAAGCTGTAGTAGTAAGGTTCTTAATAGACTAGCAATATCTACATATTTAGATGTACCCTAAACTCCCCAAATTCTGGGCTTCTTTAGCAGGCCAGTGTCAACACCTCCATCATAGTAGCCAGTAGGAACTGACAGCAGGCATGTGGGCCGCTCTTTGCACTACTGAAGTTTCAGTGGCCTGAGATGAGGTTATGCTGGGAGAAGAAATGTACGAAGTTCATGCACTGTACCTTTGTTTGTGGTAGTGACAGATTTACGAGACAGACTACATATTGTGCACATTTTTGATATTTCTTTCAAGTAGTGCCTGGCTGTACAAAGCAAATTCTTCATTCCAATTAATGGGCCACAATTCTCAAGTTCTATATACTGTCTGATTCAAAACTTTAGGAGGGGAGAGTCCATGTTCTCTTTGTTGGCTTCAGGGCTCAGCTTTATGAGAGGAGAACTCAAGTCAATTAACTGAAAGGATGAGAAAGAGAAATATGTATATTACTGAAGAGATAGCCACCATACAGATCACAAATAGAATATTAACTCATTGAATATTTTTTTTTTAAAAGTCAGTCCAAAACACACACAGCAAATATTTTTAGTAAGAGGAAAGCGCAGAGATCTGTGCCATGACCACATATTTTAACACATTCCCCCCAACTTGCCTAAGGAAGAAGTGTACTTGATTTTATTTCTAAGATTTAACAAAAGTATCTTTCTGTGTATCACTCAGCTGTAGATCCTCAAATCATCTGTGAATTGGTGCCGACACTGTCCATCTGGAGGGGGGCTACTTTTGTTCCCCATGGTCCCTTTGTGTGTTGTAAAGTAGCCACCACTCCAAGCTCACTCCCATGGACTACAACCCCCATCTAGTTCACTAATTTGTATTGAGATTGTAGTCCCATCACAGAAGTAAGCTTGGAGTGGTGGCTACATTACAACACACACATTACCATGGGGAACAAATGTAACCACCCTCCAGAAGGAAGGAAGGACCAATTCAGAGATGATTTGAGAATCTACAGCCGAGTGATACACAAATAAGATACATTCAAGTACATTTTTTCTACTAACCGAATGTATTTAAGATTTAACTCCCGAGTTTAGTGTCAATTTCAATCTTGCTGTTTTGTGGTCTGAGGACAGAAGGGATGACAAAAATCTAATTTGAAAAAATGATAGTCTGTTGTGTGTGACCACCATTTTATCTGTGCAACTCCGACACCGACTAGGAGAGCAAGGAATGTACAATGGAAGTGTGAAGTTAAACCACAAAGTGCTTAAACGTCATCAAATGCAAAGTACAGAAATAGGTGCTGGAGCTCCTCGGCTGTTCAGAAGATTCAGTCTCAGCCCAGGCTTGCTTTCTGAGCAATGTAATAAATAATGTATAGGCTTTCGCTTTATGCATGTTTATTCCTCTTTTTTCTAGCTAAGAATCTTAATCCTATACTAGAGGAATTTTGACTGAAACTGAAAAATAAATTGTCTGGCCGAAACCAACATTTTTTTTCTTACCTTTTAAAAATTAAAATGTTATTTAAAATTAAACTATTTTTTAAACTTTACTGTCAGGGGCTCTGGGAAATATCAGGGGTCTAAAGAGACCCCTGATATTTCACTTTAAAATAGAAAAAGATGGAGCCCCTGTTCGTATAGAATATTCCTGTTCATTCATAACTTATGGACATAGTATGGTTACCAGGTCTACTAATTATAATTGAACAGGAAGTGAGGTAGAGCATTTCATAATTGGGGACACAGTAAACATACAGATGAGGATTTATAAAAACTGGAGCACACAAAATCAGCTTCTCTTCAGTTTGTTGAGTTAAGATTTTAAAAAGACAGAAGCGGATTGGTTGCCATGCCGCCGCTTCAGATTGTCAGCTCCAGTTTTGATAAATCCACTTCACTATGTCCTCAAATATTTACAGTCAGCAATTAGTTAATCGCCGAGTGCTCCTAACTATGGATGCACCGATACTAGTATCGATATCTGTGCCGATACCGGGTATTTGGGCGAGTACTCTTACTCGGTCAAATGCTCCGATGCCTGGCACGAGTACTTCCTGTATCAGGAAGCCGGGCAGCGCGTCATTACACGCTGCCCTGTTTCCAGATTGGCCGGGAAGCAGCTCCATGCTCTCATCACTTGTGAAGAGAAAGTATGGAGCAGACTTCTCGGCCAATTTAGGAAGCCGGGCAGTGTGTAATGACGAGCTGCCCGGCTTCCTGATTGGCCAGCTTCCGTGTAATGACTCAGCGCCCGGCACTCTGGCCAGGAAGCTGGCTTCAATGCTTCCTCGTCATCTCATGACGAGGGAGCATGGAGCCGGCCTCTCGGCCAATCAGGAAGCAGGGCGTTGCGTCATTACATGGCGCCCGGCTTCCTGATTGGCCGGCCAGATGGCTCTGGAGGAAGGCCGCGTTCTGGCTTTAGATGCCCCAGGGGTGAGTCTGGACATACCAAGGTAACAAGGGACAGATTTTTCTTGTTGCTCGGGATGCCAGGTGTCAAGTCATTCCTGAATAGGACTTCCGTTAGGACTCGGTAAATGGCATCAGCGAGTACCGAAAAAAAAATTATCGGTACCAAAATACCAGTATCGGTGCATCCCTACTCGTAACCACTCTCCAGCCTGACTTGCTGTCACAAGAGGCTGAGCAGGCGATGCGGGGAGGAGAGCTCAGTCTCCTTTGACAGCCGACTCAGCCTCCTGTAACAGGTCAGAGCCGTCTCGGCCCCTACACTGCTCTCCATCCTGTGTTACAGGAGGCTGAGCAAGGCGGTGCGGGAGGAGAGCTCAGCCTCCTGCGACACTGCTCACAGCGCTCTCCGCCCTGAGTTTCTCTCCTCCCCAGAGGAAGCTGCTCTGCATCAGAGGGGACAGAGCAGCACCCAGCAAGGAGAGAAAACACGGATGCACCACAATTTCATCAGAAAGATGATACTTTCGGCATTTTGCCCAAAGTGCCATTTTTTGGCAGATATTTTGGTGCACCTCTATCAGATATATATTGCAGCCTGATTGACATGGATCGGTGCTCCCAGGAAAACCACTCTACTAATAAGAGTGATTTTAAAAAGTAAGGTAGCCTTGTATATACAGCTTTGCCTGGAGGCACATTGGTTTGGACCTCTGTATGCATGTTCAAGGTTTCCTTTCAAATCTGATTGCCTAGATTACATTCCCTGACAAAGCAAGGTCACATACAAAACTATCTAGCTCCCCTTTTTGCTAACCATTTAGTCTTTTAACAAATAAAAACAAAAACACACACAAACAATTACCTGGGAAACACTTGTTGGTTTCAGTGGGATAAGTTGCTTGTTCAGTTCAGGGGTATTTGAAAGATCAATTAGAGGTTGACTGTCATAATCAATTGGAGACTGCTTCCGAATTTTAGTATTTGTTTTCTCCACCTCAATATCAATCAATAAATCCTATTAAAGAAAATGACACTAAATGTTTAAGGCTTTCAAATATTTACAAGTTGGTAAAACAAAAAAACAAAAAACCTTTACCACATCCCTAAATCTATGATTTACCTGGCACTCTTGTGATCTGCTGTATGTTACATTATGCAACGTGCCCAAATCTCTAACTCACATGCCACTTTTGTATTGTATATCATTGCCTGATTGTTGCCTATCAGTATATTTTGGGATGTTAATCTTTACCCATCTCTGAAAGTAGATGCATGTCAGCAATAAATGTAATATGTTAAATAGTGACCACACAGAATGAATCAACTATGACCAAAGCCTAAAGCAGCCATAACATTACTACCTCCATATTGAGTAGGTCCCCTTATCTGGAACCAAGCATCACACTTCCTCCCCAAGGCTTGCCTTCTTCCCATAGCACCAGGATTCACCATCTCTTCCACAGGCAAGCAACATGCGCGCATCCAGTCATCCACATGATGTAAAAGGAAAAACATGATTCAGACTTCTAATTGCTCCATAGTCCAATTCTGAGGCTTATGTGCCCATTGTAGGTGCTTTTGGCAGTGGACAACCCTAACCAGTCTGTGGCTACGTAGCCTCAAATGCAACAAACTGATGCACTGTGTTCAGAAACCTTCCACCTTGGCACCCCATGACCCTGTCTCCAGTTCACCTTCTTTGGCCCACTTTTCTTAGGTTCTAACTTCTGCAGACTGGGAACATCCTACAAGAGCTGCAGTTGTGGAGCTGCTCTGACCCAGTTTGTCTAGCCATCACAATTTGGCCCTCGTCAAAGTTGCTCAAACCCCCACATTCAGAGATACTGAACATTAATACACCCAGGGAAATGGAGGCTCAATTACAACCTCTTTTCCCCTTTAGCTGGCAGAAACAGAGGATGAAGTATCTGGGCATTTATTTAACCCCGCAGCTTTCTGAATTATATCAGGTTAACTATGTTACTATGCTGAATGGGTTGAATGACGAACTGGGTAGCTGGAGGCACCTGACCATTTCATGGCTGGGAAGGATAAATTTGGTAAAAATGAATATTCTCCCTAAATTTCTATTTTTATTTCAGACATTACCGGTTACGGTCCCCAGGAAATATCTATCTATACTTCAATCTAAAGTTAATACATTTGTCTGGGGTACTAACCATATAAGAATTTCACATAAGACACTGATGCGCCCTAAACTGAACGGAGGATTGGGCTTACCAGATTTTAATCAATATTATATGGCCGCCTCTTTATCACGCATAGTGGAATGGTTCGCCCCTACATCGGATAAAAAATGGGCAATAATAGAGGAGCACTTATGCCAGACTAGATTAAGAACAGCACTGTGGGTCCCGAAGAATTTTAGGGTGTTCCCGGGGGATACCTCACCTCTTACACCCCCTTTTTTTTAAATCTCTGGGGGATTAGAAGATTGTAGAGGCAGGATATTGTGAATGTTAAATTATTATTTATTTAATTATCTAATTTTTCGTGTATATGTTTGTGGTAAAAATGCAAGTGTCTATTTGTCTAATGTAATGTTGGAATATAAAATAAAAATGATAGATAAAAAAAAAAAACCCCTACACTTGTCCAATTTTTCTGCTTCCAGCACGTCTGTGACAAAATGTTAATTTGCTGCCCAATATACCCCACCCATTTCCAGGTGCCATTGTAACCAGATGTTATTCAATTCACCTTTCAGTGGTCATAAAGTTATGGCTGGTCGATATATACCACAGTATGTGTACGTGCTCACATCTAAAATCAGTTTATTCTGACCACTGAAAAAGTGGCGAGGAAGAGACATTGGAAACTATTACAATACCTATAGATACATTACCTCGGTGCAAGGTGGTAATGTCACCATTTGTTGCTTGTCCGACACTGGCTTATTCTCGGGAGAGAAGTTTAGAGAACAACAGATTTCGGGAGGAATAGTATTGTCTTCATTAGGCGAACTTGGACTGTTAGTGAGCTTGGGCTTCACTTGCTCACACTCCGTAGATCTAGAAGATATTATACAAAAAAAAAAAATCTTTAAAATCACAAAAGAAAACTGTACATTAGGGAGGACCATCACTCAGACTTGAATAAATAAAGAGCTATGGAAGTGCAGAGCATTCACCAGTAAGTTCTTGGGTCAGACATTTTTTCACAGGAGTTTCTCCAAATGCTTTCATAAGTAATCTGTCTAATTCCATACCGATATCAACGTGTATGTAAGAAGTAAAGGTCTCAGTTGTGGCTTCATGTATCATGTTTTACCACTTTACCAGACAGTTCCAGATGTTCCATTAACCTTGTAACTACCAAGACTCTTCTCAAAAGGATCTCATTGCTCAGAATCTTCTCTGGTAAAATTCCTACAACTTTCATCAAGGGTCAGCTTTACAAGCCTCAATTACTAGTATTTGTGCCAATACAATAAAAAGGAATTGATAGAATTGTTACTAGCTATAATATTGCACGTTCACACCACTTATTAAAACTAGCTTCAGACACAAAAGGCATATAACCAAGTTCTAAATTAATGTTTACAGCACTAGCAACCCAAAAATGTTTTTTACATTTTATATAAGCACAGAGAAATGACATAAACAAGCACTAATGTAATACAAAAGGTTTAAGATTTCCAGAAGAAAAAAAAAAAAAGGAAGAATGCATTTACCCAACAGGCAACTTCCGGGAGGACGTGGACGCCTGCAAAGCTGGTATAGAACGCAGAGATGGAATAGCCCTTGGGACAGTCCTTGGCGTTGTTAAGATTCCAGATGTTCTGCGACTAACTGATGTAGGTAAAGCGGATGAAAACTTTGAAGTGGGTGTTGCTGATATGCATCTTCCTATTAAACTAGAGTTCATCTGCATACCTTTCGATCCTATTGGAGTGCTTTGTACAGAACCACTACAGAAAAGAGGAAAAAACAAAAAACACACAAAAAGGTCAAACATTTTCTGCAGTTCATGGCACCACCAACCTAAACATGGACAGCGGCTTAAGAAGCAATTGCCAACTTTTGAATAGTAAATGAAACTTGCATCAAACCACAGAATTTCAGATGCGAGACAGATGTGTACAAGGATAGAGTAGTGCCCTATGAACTCAGACATCTATAATTGAACCTGCCCATTTGACGCATGGTGAAAAATGCATAATTACAAATGCAAATTTCTGCAATTTGCATGTGGAAGCATACCGAGATCCATTAAAAAGATGCCACCCAAGGATTGTTTTATTTAACATAAAGATGAACTTTACCCATATTTTTGAAATGACAACAAATACACCTTAAGAAAGGTTTAGTAATGGAAAATCTACAAACACATACTTTTAGATAATTGCAGGCTTTTTATTTTTGCATACCTTGTTTTTCTTTTCTTCCCCATCCTTCTCACAGTGTTCATTTTTATCAAGGGCATATTGCTATATCTCCTGGATCTCTGGCACATATGACCATGCCCATCTCAGGGGAGGAAATGCCTTTCCCCAAGATCACAGATGAGATTTGCCAGCAGTGCTCTGCTAATGTAACCTTCCCAGGATGCAATGCCTGGGCACAATTACATCATTTGTGCCAACGAGGACCATGAAGTGGAAAAACAAAAGTAAACTAAAGTTTTCACCAACTAATGATTTTTAAGAGGATTTCAGATCAGTATGCAGAGCTGTATGCTGATGTGATTTTTAGGAAAAAGGGGTAAAGATCCACTTTAAGTGTTAGAAGCACACACACAAAAACAAAACAAGATGGCTACATTTACCAGCGAACAAAAATGTTAGTTGTAATCTTTTTTTTACTGTGCTTAGTTGGTCAGGCAAATTGCTTCACAGCACCAGCCTGAAAATACAAAGCACAGGCAGCAGAGTCGAACCTCTTCAATAGGCTTACAGTCATGTATAAACCGCCTTTCTTCACAGGGTCTTGTCTCTAATTTTGTTGACTTCCTGACAGGGTCACTTTAAGCACAAACTCCATAACATACCCTAGGCTCAATACTGCAGCCAGAATTATTTTAATAGGCTGTAAAATGCAAGCATCGATATTAAGTAATTCTAGGGAGCAGAACTGTGAGCGGATATCAAATATGCACTCTTCTTTTATAATATTCTATGGGGTGCGCATTTATAAAAGAGCTGTATGCATTATGAAGAGTAAAGTGAGCTAAAGAGCATAGAGGATTCCTATGCTCCTCATCACCATCTAATGGTCATAATGTAAACCAAATCTAAAAACCAAGATGTTCGCTCTGCAAAACATTTTATAAAAACACCTTTACGGGTCTTACAAATCAGTCTTCAATACATAACTATTGACATTACCTTCCAATGTCCCCACATGAAAGTAATCGTGTTGGCTTCAGGGACCTTTTTGCTGTGTGGTCAGGCGACTGCCCTGCTAACAAAAATTATAAAAAAACACCAAGGCCATTAAGTATATTGCTGCCGCTTCTAATGCTCAGATTAATTGCAGTACATATTGCGATTCAATCTTACCCTCCGGCTTTTGTGGTGGCCTTAATCTGCTTGTTGGAGTGGGCAATACTCTTGCCTGCGGCTTTGTGGACAGTGCCTTTACGCCACTTTCCGGTTTAGCAGGAGGAAGCAGTCTGTGTAGATTGGGTGCAGAAGTCTGTCTGTGAACTTTGCCAGTTGGAGTCTGCGGCTGGGCCATAGACACAGATGCAGGTTTGTTACCATTTGCTTTTGGTGCTGCATTTGGTTTTAGGCGGTGGTGGTTGGAGTCAGAGCTGGCCACCTTCAATGCAGATCCTATTCCACCAAGAGGACGGACAAGTGCAAATCTGTTTGTATTGGGCTTTAGTCTTGAGCCGTTTATTGAGGTGTTCAGGGACGTGTGAAGGGAGGAATTCAGTTTAGCTAAAAAGGATAAAAGATATATTTTGAAAGATACCATAAATGTATGCACTATCTGAAAATGAATACAAATTATGGTTAAGCAACAAATGTGTGCAGATCCACACACCACAAGGTTTTCTACAAGAGAGATTTCTAGCTTACCACTGGCAGCAGGTGGAGACGACAGACTGGAATTCAAACTAGTGTTTATACTGGAATGGGAAGATGATGAAGACGAAGTATTCCTCCTGGGACCAGCAGCAGAAGGGGTTTTAAACTGTGTTTTGCCTAAATTAAGCTAAAAACAAGGTTTAATGTAGAGAAAAAAAAAAAATTATATGAATGCATCTATCCTAGTAAGCACCCCCCCCTTTTAATATGCAAGACTCCTATGTCAAAGCATAGTGCAGGTGACAGGTTCTATTTAAAGAGACATCAGGAGGTCTATTGGATCTCTGATGTCCAATCTGCACTCTGTTGAAGCTGAAGCACAGATTATACCAGATAACCTTTGTCCACAGCCAGACCAGCAGGTTAAGGTCAGCTCTAAAACCTCGAAGTGGTCACAGCTGAGCACCTCCATGTTCTGATGGCTCCAAGACCAGAGGCTGCCTTAACTAGAAAATTAATTCACATTACATGCAGCCAGAGGTCAACAAATGCTCATTTTAAAGCTCTTTAAAAGGGCAATTCAATTTTGCCACAAAATGTGAGAAAATTAGGTTACCTGGAGAATTCTGCAACCTCTGCCCATCCCCATTATTCATAACTTTTCGCTACATGTGACTATGCTGACCACTAAGCGCTTGTCATTTGTAAGTGTTATGCTCAATCCTCAGTGTGGGGCTGCAGTGCACGAACTGTACACTGGCAGGTAATGGTGGAGGGTTGGGATTACCCTTTAACTTTCAAATATGTAAACCCTTCCATGTCCATAGTCTGGGCATGAATTCGTACAGCCTACAATGTATTGTTTTGCCATCTGTGTCCCTCCATAGACATCTGTCATTGAAATAGGTACCACCTTGGAAGATTTCACCCTCACCCTTTTGGCTATACTTACTGAATAGTTAACATGCATTTTAAAGTATAAAAACTGTTTTGACCAACCCAAAAATGATTACAAAACCTAAGAATAAATCACCATTTTAATCTGCCTTCAAAACGCAAGAACTTGCACTCACTGTGTATAGTGTTATAGAAGTGTGGCTGGAAATTACCTTGTTAGGAAGAGCCAGGGTCCTCTTGCTCTGCCCTATAGAGCTGTTATTAAAAGAAGAGTCACTGATATCAGATGCGATGCTGGAATTGCCAGAAAGCAGATCTTCTGTAGAACCCATACTGCTCAGATTCTTCCTTGCCACAGGGCTCTGTTTTTTAGTACCTTTGGGCTAAATAGGATGATATACAGTAGGCCAGGATAGAGAGAGTTATGCCATTGCAACTTCAGAAAATGTAAAAGCCTTATTCCAAAAATAGTTAACCTGACATTTCCCACATAAAACCCAAGCTTACAATAGCAAAACTTCAGACAACTACCCAACACAAGGATTAAAGCTGAACAAGACAAAAAAATAAATGGGATTACACAAATGTATGCAGCTCTGTATTCATTAATATGTATGTAGCCATTCAGCAAGCCAGTACATACCTTTTCCACGGTTAAAGTGTTATTCTTTAATTGTGCAGTGGCTGCCCTCATAGGTTGCAATCTGCTAACAATTCTACCAGTGCCAAGCGGTGGAACAGTAGTTTTAGCCTGGGGAGCCTTAGCTTTCTGTGTAAGAGGAGAGACCAACAGACTCTTAACTACTTTTGGTCCTTTTAAGGGGCTTGCCAAGATTTGAGATTTTTGAGCCTCCGTACGTTCAATGTGTTTGTTAGGTCGCATAGTCTGCTGTTGGATTGATGGCGGAAGCTGTTGGAGAGGGCTATCCTGTATACAATAAGTCTCTCTTTTAATAGCAACTGGGGTTTTATCGACCCCATTAAATGCATCAAAAAGTTTTAATTTGGACTTTGATTCCTGTACAAATTTCTCCACTGCTTGGTTTGGGGCAGGTTGCAGTGGCTCCTCTTTTCTGTCATCATTCGTAGAACATCCCAGCTGTAGTGCCAGCAAGTGAGCTTCTTTGAATATTTCAACGAATTTATCACCACTTAGAGGACTCCAGACAGACTGATCATCTGAAGGAGACGTTTTCTTATCAGATTCATGTAATTGGATAGCTGCAAGAACACATTTTTCTTTGTGTTTAACTGGACCAATGAACACTTCATCATCACAATCTTCAGTGTCTTTAGCACTAATGGAGAAAAACAGTAAGCAAAATATAAGTGCCAAAATAAAGATTTAAAAAAAAAGGCTCAATACCATGATATTCAACTGATTTTATACACATTTTAAAAATAGAGTGCATTTGATAAGAAGGGTCTATAAAGTGTGATGATCGATTGGCAGTGCCAGGGCTTACAGCTGCTTTAAACCTGAATCCCCCTCCAACATATAGATATGGGTATGACCACTGTGTATTTCAGTAGTTTGTGTACTGGCCATACATTTCAGACTTGGAGAGGGGCTCAGTGTACCATTGAGAATTATATTAGTATACTGCAGGAAATAGAAAAGCATTTCCTTAGTCTTCTCTCCCTCAGAATGTACATTGCAGCTTAAAGGTGCCCATTCACTGCACGATCGTACGAGAATCGCGGGAAATCCCACGATCGTAAGATAATCGTGCAGTGTATGGAAGGCGTGCGACCGTTTCTACTGTACAGTCGCACGTCTTCCGTCGAACCAGCATGCTAGAAACCCCGACGAGAATCGTGCGATTCTCGGCGAGTTAGTGGCCTGCTGGTACAACAACTGCCGAACGGGCCGGTGTGCTTATGTGCACACTGCCCGTTTACACTCATCGGAAGCCCGCCCCTCAGTGGAGTCATCGGAAGCCCGCCCCTGAGAGGGGCGGGCTTGCGATGATCGCAAGTACGATCTGTCTGTCCAAGATGGGCAGATGGTACGTTTTTTTAATTACTTTACAACCCTCGCAAGGCAAAAGTCTTGCGAGGCTTGTAAAGTGTATGGCCACCTTTATAGCAAGTCCCAAGTGAGAAGCAGCAGGTGAGTTGATCTGTGCAAGAAACAACGGCACAGAATTAACATGATTGCATTATAGCCTGGAAAGCACATGCTGAGCCTGAGCAATGCCCGAACAAAGATGGCCTAGCCCTAAGGTCAGGTTCACACCATTTTCTTGACCAGATCTGTAACGTTTTAGTGCTTTTTTTTTTTAAGCTTAACCAGTTGACATCCGCGGTGTTAAACCCCCTTCCCATCAAAGGTGCAGACCAGTGCGTTTGCATGCATCTGATATGCATTCACATGCGTTCCAGACCAGAAAAATAGCACATGCAAGCAATTTTTTTGCCCCCACCAGAACAGACTGCACTGGTGTGAACAGTAATACCATAGGAATACATTGGGATGCATTTCAGGTGCAGACAAAAACTGTTCTGGTCTGTTCAAGCCCTAAAGCTGCCCATACACCTACAGAGATTTTCTATAGCCAGATGGAAAAAGTGAAGCAGATTCCCCCATCTATGCTAAACTGTGTGAATGGAGGAATCTCCCACTGGGCCAAGCTTCAGCAACTTTTTAGTGGGCCCTGCTGGCTCTCAAAACACCTAAACAATGCCTGCATCCAATCAGATTGTTCCACACAGGTTTAGCGTAGATAGAGGAATCTGTTGCACTTTTTCCACCTGACCATAGAAAATCTATAGGTGTATGGCCAGCTATAGGGAATAAAAGGGGATGAAGGTATTGTCAAGAGTACAGAGATCTCTTTGAAAGGTTGCAAATCCCTTTGTTTACCCAACTAAACCTTACTTCAGGTAAGCATTAAAGTAAATCTAAAACCAAAACTCCCCCCACCTGCCCTGCAGACACAGAAGGAAGTGGGAGAAAATCTGCTCAGACTGGCGACATCAAGACCGGTGTCCCCACTGGAAGTTTCCCCTCTATTCTTGTGACAGATCAAGATTTCTCATCACTTTCAGAAACTGTTCATGATAGCATACCTTTAAAGGAGATAGGGATATAGCATACCTTGAAGGAGATAGGGATATATCAAAGTCAAACTTCTCATCTGCCAGAAAGGTGAAATCTATAAATACAAATTGGAAATAAGCTTGCATTTCAAACCATGATAAAATAGTTTTGTTGCAGGGTAATGCAATCCTCAAAAAGTGTCTGTACATGTTCTGATCTCAATGTTCAATCCTTGCTCTTTAACTTAGAAGGCACCTGACCAGAGAAGCCTATGCCAGGGAATTTCAAAGAACTTGTTCATTAGGGAAATTACAAAGCTACCTGTCACATATGCAAAATGCATGCCTTTGTCCTTTATAGATAACGCATAGCCAAATCTCTGCTCTGCGAGGTCTAGAGATCACAGTAGGTTTTCAATAATCTGATGACAGAATTGCTATGCTCTGTTAGCGTGTCCATTTCAGAAACCTTAGGAACTGCATGCTTATGACCTCTACAATCCACTCCATTTCAGAATGGAGAAACTGCAGGGCCATCTCACCTAATGTACAACTAAAAGGTGCCCATACACCTTACGATTATCGTACGATAATCGTATGCAATCGACTTTTCGTACGACAATCGTAACCTGTGAATAGAGTGCCCGACCGATAGTACTGTACAATCGTATGACTTTTGACGGTCAAGCATGTTTGAAAACTTTGCTAGATCGTACGATTTTCATAAGGTTGCTGGCGTTTCCGTCCGTCAAAAGTCGTACGATCTAGTAGAACGAAAATACGGCAAATCATTTACCGCATTTCGTCCAGGTGCCTTTCGTTAATTACGGCTAAATTAATCTTGCGATCATCGGGGCAGGATGGGGCCGTCAAACGAAAATCGTACGACTATTCGATCATCGAACGAAAAGTTTTGTCCGATAATCGCAAGGTGTATGGGCACCTTTACTTCCTATGTCTGCCAAAAACAAACCCACTTAGAAATAAAGGTCAGGGCAAAAACAGAAGTGTGCAATATAAGCCTTTTACAAATGTCCAAGTAATTGATACCCAACTGCTACCAATGTACACAATGATCACTAAATTATGCACACTAGTAGGTGGACTTCAAGTGAACCTGTGGAAAGAATATTGACACTGAAATATTTCTAGATGTAAATAAGCTTCAGAACAAGCCCTTACCGACCTCTCTACCAGCATACACTGTGGAACAATTCAACCTCAATTTCACAAAAGAAGCATTGAAGTCTCTTCATATGCATCGGCTTTGTGTTTACATTAGAGATTGGAAGGATGGAAGGCTGCCATGTCAGGGTAAGCCGAGCTGCTAAAAGTGAAAGCACTTCTGCTGCAAACAGAGGATAAATTGCTCAACAGTGTATGAAAGCTCTGTAGAAGTTTGTTTACAAGCTCATTTACTTCTTAAAGACCTCTCCCCTTTGGTGGAACACTAAACCTGCATAGGGGAGTTAGATATTATACAGTCCCCTTTCCCCATAACCTGCAGTGCAGGGGGTGACATCCGCTGACGATCCTGGGAAATGTCCAGGACTTCATATTTTCTGAAAAGACGTTGCAGCACAGTGTTGGGAGCATTCTCTCCGCAAGATCTGGGGCTACTTTAAAGATTTCACTGGGAGGATATCATCACCCTCACAAGGCTGCAGGTTGTGTAGGGGAAGAGGGACTCCCACACCTCCACAAGTGCCAGAGGCAGAACTAAAAACTAGATAACCTGAAAATGAAAGCATGTTGACACCAAACAGAGCGAAAGTGCCTAGTACCTACTTTTTCACAAAAAGCAGACCTTTCACATCATATTGGACAAACCTTTGTCATTAAAAATCGCCCTTTTTGAACAGCTCTGTACTCTACTTGAAGTTGCAGTATTTATTTATTAAAGCACTAACTTTGACCAGCTCCCGTTTGCCAGGCCTCAGGTAATGGTGACAGTCTGTGCCTTTACACAGCCTCCTGGGAAGAGTACGTCACTAGAGGCTGCAGGCAGATCTCGGGAATGCAACTGTGAAATCTCACAAGATTTTAACACCAACAAGATTTTAATTGTACGAGATACATACTAACATTTACATGCATGTACAATTGATATCTTGTGAGGTTATAAAAGCATAGGCATGAAACTGAAGGCCTGTGAAGCGGGGGAAGTGATCAAATTCGATACTTTTTTTTTCCTTTTAATACATGCAGCAGTTTTAGATTATTTTTACATAGCTTTTCAGGAAGGGGAATAATAAAGATTTGTCCAATTTGAGGTTAAAGGTCCATTTTAAGTGCTCATACAGACAGGTGTGCACACCCATAAAGAAACTGGATCCCGGAAGGAACAAGTGCTGCGTGTAATTGCGTGCAGCAGCCTGTTCTTCCCTGTGGGAGGAGGCTGCTGCATGCAGTTACACACATTCACACCTGAACAGCCATGCAGGTCCGGGTGCTCGCATGTGGACGCACACTGTCTGTGACCCAAGTGCGTAGGTGTGCAGGTTTGGGTGTGCATGTGACCGCATACTACCATAGGGAAGAACACAATTACACAGAGCACCTGTCCCTTCCAGGATCAGACGTAGGTAGAGAGAGTCCCTCTGCACTCCTTACAACGCTCCCAGCCTATATAGGAAATGGTGCTCGCAGTGATGACCACGGATGGCGCCATGCAAACACAAGACAGAGGACAGGAATCACCAGCACTCAGTATTATCTGTAAATATGTCCATTTATTGGACACATCACACCTTTTTGCTCTGATGAAGGGACCCTGCGTGGCCCCGAATCATTGGCTTTCCTCACTGTGATGGTGTCCAATTAATGGACATATTTACTGATAATACTGAGTGCTGGTGATTCCTGTCCTCTGCCTTCCAGGATCGGGACTTTACAGGTGTGCACACCACACGGACATGCACGCCCATCTGAATGAGCCTTAAAGGCTGCTGTAAAATAAAGGAAAGTGTAATACTTACCAGTGCCAACATCCATTCTGGGAAGAGGCTTGCTGCTTTTAACTAAGCCACCTAGACAAAAATAAAGTGACTAAAATTAGATGGCAATAATGACCCTGTAAATGTGCAGGTTATCAAAATTATTACAGCCAACCAACCAACATTAACCATCTCCTTGGCATGAGCAAAAAGTTTAACAGACTTGATTTTAATGTCACTGTAGTGTGTTCAAGAGGCAAGTATTGATCTGTGATCAGGACAGCCTAGTGGCTTATTGTAGTTTCAGGACAGGGTTTCATTAAAGGCATGGTCTATATTTTGAGCAAAATAAATAAATGAACCTACATTGATAAAAGAACGCTTTATTAATGTTTAATTACTAATGTTTTGCATTCAGGCTTGAAGAGCATTGCAACTGCGATCAGATGCCCAGGATCCTGAATGTTTACATCACAAACCCAGGTCCATGTGGGAGGTATAGATCTACCATTATGGGGCTGGAGGAAGTCATCAATGGACTACAACTGAGGGGAGGTCACCACATTAATGTTCTAATCAGATCTACAAGTCCTACTGCCATGGTGACAGATGGGACTTGGTAGTCTTCCATTGACAGATTCTGTAAATGGATTTGTGAACTGATGACATGGCTGTGTGGTCAGTGCAGGGAGAAGCATCATCCACCCCTCCCCCCCCTCATTCAGGTAATAAGGGGCGCTTTTTGAGGGTGGAGGGAATGTGATCCTGCTGTGTTACTCACTAAATAGAGCTGTAACATACAACGTGGTCAGAAAGGTGTACTGTGCCTTTAAATTTGCCTTGATTCATTCCTAAAGAGAAATCAAATGAAAAATTAAGTAAACCTAACCCTAAAATAACTAGAGGAGCTGACCGTAACCCTCACCACCCTGTAGAAACCATCAGTTCTTCCATGCACACCTATCACAACAGACACAGCTATAGTACTACCTCAATTATCGGAAGGTAGCGAACGATAAGCGGCGGCACAGCGTGCGATCCTACCGGCACTCACAAGATAATATCACCACCTCAGCCACACAAACGGCCTACGATTCAAAATTCCCTCTGACCTCACTACACGACATGTGACGAAGAACGCTAGCCTTTGATTGGTTGCTTTAAAGAGCCGTGCTTACGTGCTGCACGCGCGACGTGAAATCGCGGAGCATTGTGGGAAATGTAGTTCGCACACCTTCTCCAGCTTTATTGGCTTCCAATGAGCTCGCTGCAGCATTGTCGTGTTGTCTGCAGGTTCCATCACCTGGAAGGATATGCTGGAGCTAAGACCAGGGCTGAGTGATTGATATGATTTTTTCTTAATGACATTGATAGATTCTGTGGTAGCTCTTCAGAAATGGCATTTAGTTGTAATGTTTATGTAATATAGTATAAGAAGACAGTACAGGGGACAAGGTTTCTATAAACTGGAACTGGAGAAGATGGGGGATGGGTTTATTTCCATCCTGAGGGCCCATTCACATCACTGCAGTCTGGTGCATTGCATAAAGCCTGCATTCACACCTGAACGCTTTGTTGCATGTTTCCTGAAGCACGACAACACTCACCATGAAGATTCCCATTATTTTCAATGGTCACACCCGAGAATTGCAGAGCTTGAAGCAAAAAAAAAAGTACATAAGCTCTTTACCTTTGTTTTTTGTCCCATAGACTGCAAAGGAAACAGCTTAAAAAAAATGCACTAACACATTTTTTGCATCCAACAACTACCTCCTCCTCCTCTTAGTAACTAAATTGACTTAGGCTACATTCACACTTGCATTTTTGTGCTCTATAAGAAGAGAAAAATCTGTCAGGCTAGATGCTGTGTTTATGCTTCCAGATGTGATAAATGGCATGCTTTTTCATTCATATGCTTTTAGAGATGCATCTGGTACCTACCATCAATTCACACTTACATGGTGCGTTTAGAAGTTCAAATCGATTCCTGGACGCACCTGAACTTCTATCATTTCTAAAATCAGGTAAACTGACTGCAGATAAAAGTTTCTAAACGCAAGGTGTGAATAGATCCATTAGAAATCATTGAATACATATAGGGATGGATCGGTACTCATACTCGCCCAAATGCTCCGATACTTACCCCTGATACTGGAACTTTTGGTCAGAGGGACATTTCCTCTGACCAGCAGTGCTGCGAGGGAACATGGAGCTGGCTTCCCAGCCAATCAGGAGGCCATGCGGCGGGTAATGACTCGCCGTCCTGCTTCCTGATTGGCTGGGAAGCCGGCTCCATGCTGTTTGGCCGCCTCGATTCTGATTGGCCAGGAAGCCGGTTTCCCAGTCAATCAGCATGGAGCCAACTTTCCGGCCAATCAGGAAGGCGGATGGCAGGTAACGACATGCCGTCCGGCTTCCTGATTGCCCGGGAAGCTGGTTCCATGCTAGGGAAGAACCGGTATTGGTAATCGTTATCGGCGAGTACTGAAAGATAAATATCGGTATTCACACTTGATACCGAAAAACCAGTATCGGTGCATTTCTAGATGCATATATATGTGTTTAGAAAATCATTTTCAATGCATATGAATGTATCTAATGGCACCTAGTGTGAATGTAGCCTAAAGCTGTAAAACTGAAGCATAAAAACACCTTAAAAATGGGCAAAACAAATCTTCTAAATTGCCTGAAATAAGATGAGCTCGGGTGTGAATGCAGGCTAACACACACATTAAACCATGCATTAAGGCAGGGGTCTCAAACTCAATTCAGTCGGGGACCAGTGGACACATTTTTTAGTCCTGTGGTGGCTGCTACTATATACGGTACCAGATTTAATGTATGCATGTTACAAGCAGCAACTGTCACCGATTCAAATTACTGATCGGGTGACAGCTGCTGCATGTAAGCGCCTGCACACCGCATGTAATCATATGTGAAAGGATTACATGCAATTAGGAATCTGTCAGTATCAGTGGTTACACAATTGTGTATCCAGGGAGAGTGATTGTTTTTGTAACTGCATGTAATCATATCACATACGATTACATTCGTTATGCAGGCGTGTACATGCAGCGACTGTCACCTGATCATTAACTTGAATGGGTGACAGTTGCTGCATGTAAATGCCAGATTAGGGATTCCTGCTGCAGGAAAACGCAAGTTTGTGACACAGGAATCCCTAATCGTACCTGAAATATAGGGTACTCTCCCCATTCCAATCCCCCCCGCACACATTTAATACATTCCCCCCCTTCCAAACCCCCCCTCACACATAAGAATACACTCCCTCCCCCCCACACACACATAATACACTTCGCCCCCCATTCCAAACCCCCGGCACACATTTAA